TTTTTTTTTTTTTTTTTTTTTCATTAAGACCAGTTAACTGCCCAAATGTTACACTTAACGGCTCACCAATTCCACAAAGTACCTGTGTGAACTATCTCGGCTTGCATCTCGACCGCAGATTAACATGGAAAAACCACATTAAAGCAAAAAGTCAACAACTTAGACTTAAAACACTAAAAATGTCCTGGTTGATAAGATGAAAATCAGAAACCACGTTGGAAAACAAAATTCGCCTCTACAAATCCATACTGAAACTGAAAAAAACATTTATTTTTCTCTCTCTCTTTATATTTACAAATTAATTTTTTTGTTTTTTTTTCTAGACGTTGATATGCAACGACTGCACCATCAAGTGGCCCATGCGACACCAAGCCAAAGCCTGTTACGCGAGGAACCCAGCAGAACGCAGCCCTCCTCCCGCCCAAAAAAACAATGAATGCAAAATGGATCCATGCAGGAGATTGCTTTTAGTGGGATTGGCGGCTCTTGCATGATCGGAGGAGGAGGAGAATCAACAAAATAAGCGCCGACAGCTTTGATAAAACCCATATCTGCAGGAAAGAAACCAGAACGGTCGTTTGTCTATACATTTGAGTATTATAACTCATATAAATATGTGTACATTAATGGAAACCCATGAAACGATACCCTTTGCATATTCCGCAGTTTGAAAATATGACAGAGAATTTGCATATGGCTGGGAATAACATCTGCAGACTTCTTTAATTGGTGAAGCAGCAAGGCCGTGACAAGGAATATTTGCGCCCGTTGCAAAGTTGTAAAACGGCGCCTCCAAGCACCCTTCCTATTCAACATTGGCTAGTTTCGAGCCCAGATTGTCGCCATCGCCCCTTGGCACGACCCTGTGGAGCAGTACTTGGTCCAAAGAGGAAAAAAACTTAAAACATTTTGTTAACAGCCCAGCCGGGTCTGTGTCTTGGCGACATGAAGATACTGGCGTTCAAATAAGTTAAACAAATTAAAAATGCAAATAAATTCAATATAATCTCATTAATCTATAATAATTGTTTCCCTTTTAGCCGTTTGAAGACCTTAAGCTCGTTTAGAAGCACGGTGGTAATTTATCTTTCAACTTCAGTGGCATTGTTGCCTCCATTTGATTGAGACTATACTCTCTGTTTGCTAGGTACCCTCACGGAAATTAAAACAGATCTTTATTTTACTATCAATACTATCAATACCACACATATACTATCGGACCCACAAAATACTATCGTCTGACTTTCTAGATTTTTTCGGCATGTTTTTTTGGTTCGATCTGAGTACTGACAGGCGTAAAGCCACTAGAAAGTAAAGTTTTGTTTTATTTATTTAAAATTGTACACACTCGAAATCTTACAACTGACCGAACGCTGGATCGGCTGGCGGGCGTGCCGAAAGACAAGCTGGTCGAGGCCCAGGGCAGCTTCCACACCAACCACTGCATTAAATGCAAAAAGGAATACGGCATTGCCTGGATGGAGGAGGAGATCTTCGCTGATCGGCTGCCCAAGTGNGTGGTAATTTATCTTTCAACTTCAACAGAGACTGAAGTAGAAAAATTCCTTGAGTCACCCTGCCAAATGAGCTTGCCTATTAAAAGCATTAAATATGAAGAAGTTGTGACAGAAATCAAATGCTTGAACAATAAAAAAGCACCAGGCCCTGATAAAATAGACGGTATCACCCTTAAAAGTTTACCACCAAAATGCATTCGGTTTCTCACTCTTATATATAACGCCATTCTCAGACTAGACCACTTTCCAAGTCAATGGAAATGTGCAGAGATCGTTATGATCCTAAAACCAAACAAAATAGAAACGGAATTGACATCATACCGTCCCATTAGTCTGTTGACAATTTTCTCGAAAGTGTTTGAACAAATACTATTGAAGAGAATGTTACCAATTTTAGACGAACTTTCCATCATTCCTGAATACCAATTCGGTTTCAGGAGGGGTCACGGGACCCCTGAGCAATGTCACAGGGTTATTAATGATATAGTTTCGGCATTTGAAAACAAAAAATACTGCACTGCTGCATTTCTTGATATTCAACAAGCGTTCGATCGAGTCTGGCACAAAGGTTTGTTGTACAAGATAAAGAAATGGCTACCTGCTCCGTACTGATTGTTAATCAAATCATATCTGGCTAGAAGATGCTTTTACGTGCAGCAGAAAACCGATAGTTCATCACTACTTCTCATCAACTCAGGCGTCCCACAAGGAAGCGTATTGGGACCAATTCTCTACACCCTATATGCGACCGACATGCCAGTTACAAACAACTGCACTGTTGCAACATATGCTGATGATACAGCCGTTTTAGCCACAAGCACATCTATAAATGAAGCTTCTGAACTACTGCAGAGTGAGCTAAGCCTAATTGAAGACTGGTTCCTTCGATGGAAAATTAGAATAAACTCCCTGAAATCCGTCCAAATAACGTTTTCATTAAGACCAGGTAACTGCCCAAATGTTACACTTAACGGCTCACCAATTCCACAAAGTACCTGTGTGAAGTATCTCGGCTTGCATCTCGACCGCAGATTNGTATCAACTGATATTGATATTACAGCCGTTTTAGACACAAGTTCATATATAAATGAAGCTTCTGAACTACTGCAGAGTGAGCTAAGCCTAATTGAAGACTGGTTCCTTCGATGGAAAATTAGAATAAACTCCCTGAAATCCGTCCAAATAACGTTTTCATTAAGACCAGGTAACTGCCCAAATGTTACACTGAACGGCTCACCAATTCCACAAAGTACCTGTGTGAAGTATCTCGGCTTGCATCTCGACCGCAGATTAACATGGAAAAACCACATTAAAGCAAAATGTCAACAACTTAGACTTAAAACACTAAAAATGTCCTGGTTGATAAGTCGAAAATCAGAAACCACTATGGAAAACAAAATTCGCCTCTACAAATCCATACTGAAGCCTGTTTGGACCTACGCTATACAGCTTTGGGGAACTGCTAGCAACTCAAATATTGAAATACTTCAGCGTTACCAATCAAAAACTTTGCGACACATTGTCAATGCTCCGTTTTACGTATCTAATGCAAACATCCATCAAAAAAAAAAAAAAAACTTCAGTGGCATTGTTGCCTCCATTTGATTGAGACTATACTCTCTGTTTGCTAGGTACCCTCCCGGAAATTAAAACAGATCTTTATTTTACTATCAATACCACACATATACTATCGGTACCACAAAATACTATCGTCTGACTTTCTAGATTTTTTCGGCATGTTTTTTTTTGTTTGATCTGACTACTGACTGGCGTAAAGCCACTAGAAAGTAAAGTTTTGTTTTATTTATTTAAAATTGTACACACTCGAAATCTTACAACTGGCCGAAAGCTGGATCGGCTGGCGGGCGTGCCGGAAGACAAGCTGGTCGAGGCCCATGGCAGCTTCCACACCAACTACTGCATTAAGCGTATAATGGAATACGGCATTGCCTGGATGAAGGAGAAGATCTTCGCTGATCGGCTGCCCAAGTGCACGGCATGCAAGAAAATTGTGAAGCCGGATATTGTTGTCTTTGGGGAAGACTTGCCCGAAAAGTTCCTCAAAAGTTTGGTGGAGACTTCCAGGAGTGCGATCTGCTGAGCATCATGGGCACCTCGCTGGAATTGCATCCGTTTGTAGCTTTGGCGCAGTACCCTGGACCGCGCTGTGTGCGTCTCTTGATCAATCGCGATGCCGTTTTTTTTCCCAAGTTTACCACCTGGATGGAGGACCAAAATAACGACTGTCTGCGGCAGCATCCACTTGGCACTGGGCTCGACACGAACAGCGAGTCATGTATTGACTTAGCGGAGCAGCATTCAAATGCCACTTTCACCCACCTACGTCGAGGCTCTCAGGTACTTTATCCGATTTTGAGATATATTAATTAGTATTGATTCAAGTTCATCCCACGGTAGAGTGACCGATGAAAACAGCGCTGGCGCAGCACAGCTCATTGATCAGACGATGAACATCAGACAGCACATCCCTTCTTGTGAACTCCTCTCTCGAGTTCGAAGTATCGGCATTGTGGATGGTTCAGCAGGACAGCAGGTTCAGGACAGCCCAATCGATGCTGCCCAGGCAAGCGGCAGTGACCCTCCTTCTAGAGCGAATAGAGAAAGGCCACAGTCTGAATGGTCTTGCCGAGGCCCATCTCATCGGCTAGAATGGTGTCGATTGCCTGTCGAGGCTCTTCAGGTACTTTATCCGATTTTGAGATATTTTAATTAGTATTGATTCAAGTTCATCCCACCGTAGAGTGACCGATGAAAACAGCGCTGGCGCAGCACAGCTCATTGATCAGACGATGAACATCAGACAGCACATCCCTTCTTGTGAACTCCTCTCTCGAGTTCGAAGTATCGGCATTGTGGATGGTTCAGCAGGACAGCAGGTTCAGGACAGCCCAATAGATGCTGCCCAGGCAAGCGGCAGTGACCCTCCTTCTAGAGCGAATAGAGAAAGGCCACAGTCTGAATGGTNTGAAGTTGGGCAACACCACCGAGGCCCATTCCACTTTCTTCAGCCAGTCTGCTGTTGGACTGACTTCCTGGCTGGCGTTCTGCCGACGGAGTATGTGCCCAGCACTCCTCTTTTCGGCATAGCTATATTTTTTGGTTTGGGCGCTGGTTGATGGTAAGCCATCACCCGCCGCTTCACCGGAAGGTTGAGCAGCCGCAATATTGCTTAGCTGCCCCACCATGGTATCAGTTTTGGGTGTTGGCTTTCCACCCATCCCAGGTTTAGGATGTAACCCACCCGGATTCATACCCGCGTCCTTCACCGTGCAGGTCTTTCCTGCGTCTGAGCGGATCGGGCCAGGCCTTTGGGCCGTTGCCTTCTCCCGCTTGGGATTTCTCCCTGCAGGCATTTGGGGAGTGCCTCTCTCGTTTTTGTTTTTGTTGTTGTCAATATTTAGTAGTTTATCCATAAAATTCCCACGAGCTGCAGAGAAGCGGAACGGTCCACCCCGGCAGAGCTCTGCGTTACCCGGATAAGGCATAATTTGAACAGGGGGCTGCCAAGTCCATGAGCTCTCCGTTCACGACTGGACTAGTTTTTATACCGGGCCCCAAGCCAGGCTGACTCTTGGCACGGGTCGAGTGACACCTTAGTCCGGCCCGGTGTGAGGTGAGTGTTGGGGCTGGGATGTGGGTAGGTGTTGTGTAGGGATGGGATTGTGTGAGCTACTTAATGAGAGGCGGCACCACAAGCGCATCGTCAGTGTTGCTGCGTCGCGAACACCCGCTGGCTGTCCGGGACTGCTTATTTCGGTACTCTCCCTCAGAGCCAACTTAGTTGATGCTCTTTAAGATGCCCGCCTATTCGCAGCTGACCTACCCACTGGGGTAGGCCGTTCGCTATCCGCAACCTGCGACCCGTCCGGTGGCCTCAGCTAGGCCCCCTCTGAGCCACCTCAAAGCACAATAGGATCATCGGATAGTATTTTGTATAAGTAAAATGAATTTTTAGCATTAAGACATTGAATTGTTGCATTTACGACATACTCACAGAAGTTTGTTGCTATAGAACATACATGTAATATGTGATTACGATAGAGAAAGAGGAGGAACATGCATTTAATAGGTGAATATCGAAATTGAAAAGAAGAAGAGATTAAATTAATTTGAATTCCGACTCGGTCGAACCAGCAGCACTTGGCTTTTTATTTCGAGGGTAACAGTGGCCAAAAGCTAATTTTTAAAAGTTAAAACCAAGACTCGGTTTTTAACGCTCTGTATTAGAAAAGGAGTGACCATCAAAGTTGCGTACCAGAAATTTTCATAGATGGCGCCACTTTCGAAAAATCTGCTATGAAACCCAGCGGTCATTATTGCACAGAATGTGCAGGGAAAAAGTACCAATTTTACTGCTGTTTTAAATATCTCATAAATTGAAAAATACGATTAACTGATCCAATTTTTTTGATGTATTTTATTTAGTAGGCTTTTTACAAGGTGTTCTGTAATGTGAACGATATCTAGTGGTTGGCGATGTCTTCTACATCTAGATGTAGTCCTGAGTGCCGGGGATAAAAGTTGTGACTCGTAAGTAGCGTCTCACACGTCCCTTCTCGTTTATCTTTCAACTTCAGTGGCATTGTTGCCTCCATTTGATTGAGACTATACTCTGTTTGCTAGGTACCCTCTTGGAAATTAAAACAGATATTTATTTTACTATCAATACCACACAAATACTATCGATACCACAGAATACTATCGTCTGACTTTCTAGATTTTTTCAGACCGTTTTTTTTTTTTTTTTTTTTTTCATTAAGACCAGTTAACTGCCCAAATGTTACACTGAACGGCTCACCAATTCTGCAAAATGCCTGTGTGAACTATCTCGGCTTGCATCTCAACCGCAGATTAACATGAAAACACCACATTAAAGCAAAAAGTCAACAACTTAGACTTAAAACACTAAAAATGTCCTGGTTGATAAGTCGAAAATCAGAAACCACTTTGGAAAACAAAATTCGCCTCTATAAATCCATACTGAAACTGAAAAAAAAATTTTTTTTTTCTCTCTCTCTCTTTATATTTACAATCTAATTTTTTTTTTTTTTCTAGACGTTGATATGCAATGACTGCACCATCAAGTGGCGCATGCGACACCAAGCCGAATCCTGTTATGCGAGGAACCCAGCAGAACGCAGCCCTCCTCCCGCTCAAAAAAAAAAAATGAATGCAAAATGGATCCATGCAGGAGATTGCTTTTAGTGGGATTGGCGGCTCTTGCATGATCGGAGGAGGAGGACAATCAACGAAATAAGCGCCGACAACTTTGATAAAACCCATATCTGCAGGAAAGAAACCAGAACGGTCGTTTGTCTATACATTTGAGTATTATAAATATCATATAGTATCATATAAATATGTGTACATTAATGGAAACCCATGAAACGATACCCTTTGCATATTCCGCAGTTTGAAAATATGACAGAGAATTTGCATATGGCTGGGAATAACATCTGCAGACTTCTTTAGTTCCTTCTACTTCTCTACTTCCAAGCTCCCTTCCTATTCAACATTGGCTAGTTTCGAGCCCAGATTGTCGCCATCGCCCCTTGGCACGACCCTGTGGAGCAGTACTTGGTCCAAAAAGGAAAACAACTTACAAAATTTTGTTAACAGCCCAGCCGGGTCTGTGTCTTGGCGACATGAAGATACTGGCGTTCAAATAAGTTAAACAAATTAAAAATGCAAATAAATTCAATATAATCTCATTAATCTATAATAATTGTTTCCCTTTTTGCCGTTTGATGACCTTAAGCTCGTTTAGAAGCACGGTGGTAATTTATCTTTCAACTTCAGTGGCATTGTTGCCTCCATTTGATTGAGACTATACTCTCTGTTTGCTAGGTACCCTCCCGGAAATTAAAACAGATCTTTATTTTACTATCAATACTATCAATACCACACATATACTATCGGTACCACAAAATACTATCGTCTGACTTTCTAGATTTTTTCGGCATGTTTTTTTGGTTCGATCTGAGTACTGACAGGCGTAAAGCCACAAGAAAGTAAAGTGTTGTTTTATTTATTTAAAATTGTACACACTCGAAATCTTACAACTGGCCGAAAGCTGGATCGGCTGGCGGGCGTGCCGAAAGACAAGCTGGTCGAGGCCCAAGGCAGCTTCCACACCAACCACTGCATTAAATGCAAAAAGGAATACGGCATTGCCTGGATGAAGGAGGAGATCTTCGCTGATCGACTGCCCAAGTGCACGGCATGCAAGAAAATTGTGAAGCCGGATATTGTTGTCTTTGGGGAAGACTTGCCCGAAAAGTTCCTCAAAAGTTTGGTGGAGACTTCCAGGAGTGCGATCTGCTGATCATCATGGGCACCTCGCTGGAATTGCATCCGTTTGTAGCTTTGGCGCAGTACCCTGGACTGCGCTGTGTGCGTCTCTTGATCAATCGCGATGCCGTGGGTTGTCCCAAGTTTACCACCTCGATGAAGGACCAAAATAACGACTGTCTGCGGCAGCATCCACTTGGCACTGGGCTCGACGAGAACAGCGAGCATTCAAAGGCCACTTTCACCCACCTACGTTGAGGCTCTCAGGTACTTTATCCGATTTTGAGAAAGATTAATTAGTATTGATTCAAGTTCATCCCACCGTAGAGTGACCGATGAAAACAGCGCTGGCGCAGCACAGCTCATTGATCAGACGATGAACATCAGACAGCAGACTGCAGCTCCAGCTCGAAAACATCATCACATCCGTTCTTGTGAACTCCTCTCTCGAGTTCGAAGTATCGGCATTGTGGATGGTTCAGCAGGACAGCAGGTTCAGGACAGCCCAATCGATGCTGCCCAGGCAAGCGGCAGTGACCCTCCTTCTAGAGCGAATAGAGAAAGGCCACAGTCTGAATGGTCTTGCCGAGGCCCATCTCATCGGCTAGAATGGTGTCGATGGCCTGTCGAGGCTCTTCAGGTACTTTATCCGATTTTGAGATATTTTAATTAGTCTTGATTCAAGTTCATCCCACCGTAGTGTGTGCGATGAAAACAGCGTTGGCGCAGCACAGCTCATTGATCAGACGATGAACATCAGATAGCAGACTGCAGCTCCAGCTCGAAAACATCATCACTTCCGATCTTGTGAACCAAGTACCAAGCGGATGCTGCCGCAGACAGTCGTCATTTTGGTCATCCATCCAGGTGGTAAAGGGACGACCCACGGCATCGCGATTGATCAAGAGACGCACACAGCGCGGTCCAGGGTACTACGCCACAGCTCTAAACGGATGCAATTCCAGCGAGCTGCCCATGATGATCAGCAGATCGCACTCCTTCTCGGGCAAGTCTTCTTCTAAGAAAACAATATCCGGCTTCACAATTTTCTTGCATGCCGTGCACTTGGGCAG